CAGCAACCAGATTAGGGTAACATTTCAAATGATAACCTGCGGATTTTTGAAGTTAAGGTATTAATATTAAATCCCGTACTTGAAATGATTCATTTTTCTTATTTCAATAAATAAATAACATCTTTGAAATGTATCAGTATTAAACGATAATACTTTATCCTTGCTATTAGTGATATTACAGATAAAGCATTTCATTTTTATAATTCAATAAAAAATTATTTAATTATTTAGCTAAGTAAATGTCATTTAAGAACAAGCACATCACATTTTGGCGAATTAAACAGGTTAAGATTTGAATGATGTCAATTATGTCAAAAACAAAAACAACTCGCACTTTACAAGCAGCAGAGAAAGACTTACTTAATCTTGGTCTGGCAGAATTTTGGTCAAGTATGAACGTGCCAGACCAATTTTATTCGAAAGAGGAATAAAAAATAAAAATTTTGACGTTTGATTTTTTCTTATACCTTGTATAGAAAATTTGTTGTTGTAATAAATTTGTTGGGGGTGGTCTGACAAATAGTTGTGTCAAGAATAAGAACGCCAGACTTGAATTTCTATATTCATCTGGTCAAAACGCCATCGAAAACTAAAAAATTATGTTTAAGTTATGTAGATCAAATTTGCAAAAAAAATAAAATACAAATTTTATTTAAAAAAAAAAAATTGGACAAGTCATAGACTACTAGACCGATGGTTTGTTATTCATCTAATACCCAAAAAGTAATAAAATGTATTTTTGTACTTGTACTGGATGACCACCTTTTTACGGCGGTCGCCGCTTGGACTATTAGGCTATTTTTCTACATAATCGCCATTTAAATTAAGGTATTTGTCATAACGTGATACAAGCTTTTTAATACCCTTTCTGTAGACATATGTCTCCTGCGAGTTCAACCACTGGTTTAGACCATTGAACTCTATACCGTTACAATGGAAGGCTTTTCCTAATACTAAAAAGTGAGGCGTTTTGTTTTTGCGCATTAGGTCATTTTAAGGTTAATATTCATGCGCAGTAAATAGCCATCATAGCCGAGTAGCAGCACTGTTACGTTATGGTCAGGGTCGGCTTTATTTATTAAATTCATTTATACATTTTGATGTACATCTAAAATAAACTTTTTGTAAATAGATAACCGTTTCAAATATTAATTTTATCTATAACAGTGAGAGCATATAAGTTAAATTTGAAAGATGTCCTGAGTTTTGTCAAATTTTGCTTGAATACTAATTAATAATTTGTAATAAAACAGTATCTTTCACCATCGTAATTATACTATAAGATGATAAATAATGATGAATTTAAATAATTACACATAATTTTATATATTTATTTACAGCTAAAAACTTATTTTACAGATTTTGTTACCTACTATTTGAATTCTACGATGTAAATTATATTTAATAGGTGATTTAGCTTAAATTGCTGGTACTGCGTGGATTCAAAAATTGACCAGGACAAATAAAATTAGAGTATCTTGACCGGTTTGCGGGCAAAGTTTACTTTACGATAAAATGAAAGATACTATACCACGATAACGACAGAAATGTTGAGCGCCACCAAGTTTTTGAGTAACTTGGAAAACTTATCTGATTTTATATGCCCTGTTTAACTGACAATGAGTCAGTCTCTGCTACCTAAAGTTATCTGTTATGAGTACAGGCAGATAATAGAAAGTGAGAAAATTTAATACATTTAATAAAAAGAGTGCAATTACACATTAAATTAATAATTAACGGCTATTAAAAAGATGGATGAAAAATTGAGTATTCAAAAATTGAATGAAATTGAATGTTGATATTTAAATTGTTTCTTTGTTTCGACCATGTGGGATTATATAGCGGTACTTCCCTGTTAAATAGTCTCCTAGGTAGATAAAGTCTATCCGATATTTCGAAGGTACTTGGAACTAATTTGAGCTATGTCGAAACTTGGAAATATGTCCAGACTTGGAGCTACATGGAGCTGCTTCGGAGTTACTTGGAGCTATTTCAAAAATTGAAGCTGGAAGACTACTTGAAGCTACTTCGACATTACTTAAAGCTTGTTTGGAGACTAGGAAGCTTCGTGAAGCTACGTAACTTGGAGCTTATTCGAAATCCCGTGGAGCTTGGAACTCGGAACTCACTTGGAGCTCGGGACTTCATGCTTGGAGCTTAGAGCTTGGACTTGGAGAAACTACGCTACTTGGAGTCACTACAGGTTTAGAAATAAAAAACTCAGTAACAGGAATGGTACATCTACAGGCCAGTTTGGAAATCTAACGGACTTATGCATAACGGGACAAATATTAAAGTTACATCATCTGAACAGAATATAAAATATTTATAGGGTCAAAATAAGTTATAACAATGAGTTTTACATCATCTGAACAAAATATAAACTATTTACATGACCAAAATAAGTTAGTTAAGAGCCATAGATTTACGTTTAAACTGTATTTCCAGATTGACTTGTAATTCAATTATTTAGTTGCCTCCCTGCGTATATATCAAAGAAAGCTTAAAAATACTATTAGGTAGGGTAGCTATGATCTATATAAAATAAAACAATAATAATAACTGGCATTCGTCAACATGGTGGTAATAAAAAAAGCAAATGGCCGATCCTTCGGCTTTCCAACTAAATCCAGCAAAGCGTTAAAATATTAGTTGAGAAAAACATTACCTGACAATTACCCCAACGGTAGCACATACGAAAGACACACGATAATTATCTAAATCTACTCAAAATGACTACAAACTAGTACATTATTTGTCGGCACAACACTACCACGTAGTTCGATAAGCCAAAAGGACGATCCATGTGACAGCAGCCGGTTTTACAGTTTACCAACGTGAATGTAGAAGAACATGAGGGACCGGCGCACAAGCCGTGATTTTGCAATCCAGAGCGAGCCATCTTCGTTTAATTTTGGTCATTTACGAAGGGTTATGGAGAAATGGAGAAGTTGGTAAAAATAAATTTGAAATTAATTAAAAATTAATAATATATAAATTATCCATGTGTGTTACTCATTGTTGATAGGTATTGAGGTTATGTCGGAAGTTGACAATTTTTTTAAAAAATCCTTGTATAAAATATATATTTAACAATATATTAGTATTAAAACTTACCTTATAAAATCAGACGGAATTTACGATAGATAAAAATTATTTAGTAGATCGAATGACCAAGATATATTAAAAATTAAAATCAACTTGATTCGTTGACAAATGAATTTTTGCCACAAGGCATAAACGACAAATGACATTTGAGTAGAGATGATTGTGTTGAAATAACGAATAACGGTTCCAACCGTAACAACTGGTATAATGGCGGTTTATTATTTACAAAAAAAAATCATACATTTCTGCTCCATTTTAAAACTTTGTGTCCTCAGATGTGGGGTTGAATAATACTAAAATCAATACTGTTGGATATCCACACATGTACAACTTTTAAATAATTTTGAATCCAGTAAATTTCAACAGAGCAGAAACAACTAAACCAAACTAAACAAACAAAAATCACAACAATTTTCACTAAACAGTGTGTTTTGGGCTAAAGTAATCCCTGTTCACGCCAACCAGCGTTATGGCTACCATGTAAGTCATACGCAAGCGCAAGAACCTAATAGTACTGAACACTGAATACTAAGTACTGAATACACTGAAGTGTAACTCTCGAGAAATTACATAAGAACGCTGTGGCTAATTTCGGTGATTTTCAGCCATCGAATTGGGTTCCTTTTGATAACCGGCTTAGCACAAACGGACTGGTCAGAGTCGGCTTGGTTTTAGTAATCGCATTACAACAGATTACACTCAATACTCGACTTTTTAAATTGGCAACGCTGAGTGATAATAAATCTTGTCAACATCGTAGCTTAACCCTAAACAATGGCGATTTGATGTGCGCCAAGGTGAGTTACCCTTCAGTGTGTTCAGTGATTCGAGGCTCCATGGATGGCATCAAATTTTCTGGCGCATGTATTGTTACTAGCCTTCCAGTAACAGTTCAGTGGTTTATACCGGCATGCAGTTCAGTGTCAGTGTCAAAGCGTTGCGAAGGGAGCCATGTCTTTATCGCTGGGAACAGGTAGTAGTCGCTTGGCGCCACATCCGGACTATACGGCGGATGATTGAAAACTTCCTATCCAGAACCATCCAAGAGCTTTTGGAAGTTTTCTCCGACGCTAGTTTTGTATTGCGCGTCTTAGTTTTCTGTTTCGTTTCCAACAAAAACCTTATCACAGCCTGCACTTCAAAACTGGCGAGATTTTCAATTGCAGTGCTTATTTCAACACTCCACTGTAAATAAAGTACGATAGGAACGATGGTTAGGCTGCATTTTCGCCGATCCTAATAGGTTAAGCAATGGGAAGGCGTTTGGGGCATTCGAGTGGTTAGTTGTATTCGCACCATTATTTAAAAAATAGTATACTGAAATATTTGATCAGTTTTATACAGATACTAGACAAGTTTGACACAATTTATTGGTTAGTACTTATAAGCTTAGCATTCGTGACATTAAATAGGGAATTTTTTTAATTAATTTTGAGAGACAAAAAAAATCAAATACTTGAAAAATATAAATGTGTGTTTATTACATTTACAACCGAAAACTAGTTTCAAAATATATAAATTTTATGAAATAAAATGACTGATATCTTCATAATAAAAAGTTTAACTAATAATACAAGCCGAAACGGCTTTGAATATAAATAATTCAAATTCAATGGTAATGTCAACTTTGATACTAAACTTAGTTTTCTATTTTTTTTTTTTTTATAAACCAACACAAATGTGTGTTATATGTTCAAAATGCAAGTTTTAAGCTTTTAGTAAATTAAAACGGCAGGCTATCACGGCTGGTTGCCTAGAAACATTCTGCATCAAGATGGCTAGTCCCACCCACTACCGCGATAGCGCAAAACATCTGTCACTTTCTGCAAAGCCCTCGTAAATTTAAGGGACTGAATAGCTTCCTTTATTTTTTAAAACACTGTTGTTTCTAGCAAGAAGTCCAGTCATAGGATACTTAAATTCCTCAATAGAAGGTCTAACAACCATAAGAGCATTTCGAGCAGAAAATGTCCTTGTTAAAGAATTTGACAGGCATCAAGATCTGAATACGTCAGCCAGTTTTACATCTAAAGGTTGCGACAGAACTTTTGGTTATTACCTGGACGTATGCTGCACTATTTTCATTGGTGTAATCCTAGCATTTTTTATAATATTCGATAAAGGTAATCTGTTACTTCATGTTTAAGTTGTAAACTAGTTTAAGATCATGCACTAATCACATGTTTTGAATCTATGTTTCATCTTATCATTTAGCACTATTACGAGTATACTACGTTTTACCTTTAACGAAAGAGTTATAATTTTATATTACCACGAATAACTTTTACTTAGACGGAAAATATTCATTTTAATTCTAAAATACTGATTTTTAGAATCTTCTGTTGGCGACGTGGGTCTGGCGATTACCCAAGCTTTCATGTTAACTGGCGCAGTCCAATACGGAATTCGAAAATCGACTGAAATTGAAAATAAAATGACTTCCACCGAGCGGATTTTGGAATACACAAATATAGAAAAAGAAATTAACGAGCCTATTGTAGATTATTTTGGATGGCCTACTGATACTACCATCAAATTGGAAAATGTTTCTTTTACGTATACGGATGACGATCCATATGTTTTGAAACATATTAATTTGGTCATCGGTCAAAGAGCTAAAATTGGAATAGTAGGAAGAACAGGTATTAATTTCTTATGTGCACTTATTTTAGTACTTAAAGAAAAGTTTTAGGGAAGAGGAAGAGAATATACAGGGTGTTTATTAATTGAGTGCCGATACTTAAGGGTGTGCATCCTTGGGTGATTTTAAGAAGAAAAGTTAATATCAACATATGTCGTAAATCTCTTAATTTTTGAGCTACAGGGTGTTACAGTTTTAAGAAAAAAATATTTTTTTTTTCATAATTTTCTTATCACTGCAGATATTTCTATGAAATTTTGTAAACACCTTTTAATCATTAAGGAGCATTTTTTGACGTATAAGATATTTTTAAATTTTTACCAGTGACTTCCGTACGGGGTTTGAACTGAATATTTTTGAAGGAAAAAATAGTACGCCACTGCTTTTTCTATGAGCCAAGTTTGCTCCAAAATAAATGATGATTTCAAAAATAATTTTTATTTTTAGAAAAAGCAGTGGCGTACCATTTTTTTCTTCAAAAATATTCAGTTCAAACCCCGTACGGACGTCAATGGTAAAAATTTAAAAAAATCTTATACGTCAAAAAATGCTCCTTAATTATTAAAACGTGTGTACAAAATTTCATAGAAATATCTGGAGTGATAAAAAAATTATGATAAAAAAGTAATTTTTTTCTTAAAACTGTAACACCCTAGCTCAAAAATTAAGTGAGTTACGACATATGTTGATATTAACTTTTCTTCTTAAAATCACCTAAGGATTCACACCCTTAAGTATCGGCACTCAATTAATAAACACCCTGTATGTTTATTGTTAAAGATACATTATCTCGAGGATAAACAAATGAAATATATAAATAAAAAGTTGAAAGGTTAAAATGAAATCTAAATAAAAATAAATAAAATAATTAAAAGTTACCTATAACTAATATTTTTTTTGTTAGTTTTCATTGCACCTAGCTATATTTCAGCCAACCAGCAATTTGTCTTAAGTAAACTTAAGAGGCTTAAAACTAAAAGTTGATCCAATAGTATCTTCTCTTTCATGTTCTAAGAGCTATACACTGCACACACGCACTGTGCTCTGCTTTAATGCACTTTCAGATCACTAATTGAAATGGTTTGGTCCTTCTGACCCTTCTGATTGTCCAGGAACTGTAGAACTTTAATGTTAACGTGATCATGCAGTCTTTTTTATGTTTTTTTTTTGCGATATTTTGTAGGTCTGAGTTTCTAACATACCAAGGGGCGTTCACTAGTGCCTTTAATATTTTATTCTGGAAACGTATTATATTTATGTTAGTTTTACTGGCACACCCCCAGAGCTGTTTGCCGTAAGTCCATACTAGCTTCAGTACTTGTTTATGTATTAAAAGTTTATTTTTTATTGAAAGGTTTGCGTAACAATTATAAAATAGTGCATCGAAAAATAATTAACAAGTATAATTTAATACTAAATCGAAATCAAAGCACAAAAAATTAAAAATATAAGCAAGATAACAAAGAATTGACGCCAAAAAAGCTTACAACATCCACAACACAAACAAAAAAACAGAACTGAACATTAACATAATCTCTGAACAAAGCCAATTCTGGAATTTGTTTACAGTGCTTTAAGACAGTCTCTTCCTGTGATTTACGTGTGTAAGAGTGGAAGGTTAAATCATGCATAATTTCTACACTCCTGATAGATGCACAGACGGTACCTTATCATTCTATCCTCTCAACTTCTTTGCTAAGAAGTCTTAAACCAAAATGACATAAAAGATAAAACTATGTGGCCACAATCTTAATATAATTCAACTATTTCATAGTATGATTTGTCTACTAAGTAGGCATGTAGTTTGTAGGTAGATGTTTTCTAAAATTACTGAAACTGTTCATGTTTCTAAGAGTTAAGGATAATTAATTAAATGATAATACCCAATTTGTATTTTTAGGTTCTGGTAAATCAACATTAATTTCTCTTCTTTTCTATATATATCCCTACGAAGGTACCATATCCATAGGAGGTGTAGATATAAGAAACATACCCCTCAAAACGCTTCGCTCAAACATTTCCATTATTTCGCAGGACCCTGTACTATTCAGCGACACAATGAGGACAAATTTAGATCCGTCAAATCAACACACCGATCAAGAAATTTGGTCGGTTATTCAAATGGTCCGACTGCAAAATTTAATAGTATCTTTGGATTTTAAGATAACATCGAGTTCGAATTTCAGCCCTGGGCAAAGACAACTTATCTGTTTGGCTAGATGTTTACTTACAAAAAATAAATTAATCATTTTAGATGAGGCTACGTCCGATATGGATTTGGAATCAGAAAATTTGATTAACAATATTTTGGACCAATGTTTTAAAGAATGTACTTTGGTGATAGTAGCCCATAGACTCAGTACAATTTTAGGTTGTGATAGGGTTGTGGTAATCGAAGAGGGAAAAATTGTCGAAACTGGGCAGGTAAACCTGTTGAAAAATGATCTCAATAGTATTTTTTATAGTATGTTGGATAAATGAGGTTTGACTTGATGGCGTGAAGAGCTACATCACACTTTTTATTTATAATTTAAAGAATTATGTGACTTAGATACACTAGCTAGAAGTCGTTTCAGGACATCATGTTCAGATTCTAGGAATCTTCCAATTTCCTATGAGAGTTCTGTGATATTATTTTTACTACAAACGGTTAAGAAATCTTTATTTAATGGAATGCCCAAATGTGTATAGTATTTAGTAGGGCATCAATAATATAATGAACTATAAGAATAATTTGTTTTTTATAATGTTTAGGAAACTTTACCATTTATAAAGAACTTTAGCAATATTTTGCCTTTCAATTATCACTGGGGCCAAAAAAATATTACAGTTTAATATTTTGCCTGTGTCATGTTAGCCCCTAGCCAGCCAGCTCCAAAACTAGCTAGAGCTCAATGAACCAGCGGTCAAAAAATAACACCGGCACATAAAAAAAAATGGTCAGTACATTTCGTCGTCAATATCACGAAGTGACGTAACGCAAAAATTTTGAAAATTAAGATAAGTCACATATTATGTAAAAAAGTATGCTCTACAATTTCACGAAATTGCGTATCTCAATTCATTACATTTATTAAAATAGCACGTATCTAACAGGTGTATCTGATAATTTCACGAAGAGACGTAACTTTATAAAAAAAAAACTTTAAAACGCTCTCTTGTAAAGTAAAAATCGAGTTACGTCTCTTTGTGATATTGACGACGATTTGACTAGACCCACTTAGTGTTATGTATTTCAATGCGCTGAATCCGAATTTGAGGTCCATTTAGCCCGTACACACTCAAAATTACAATTTACTTAAAATTTTGAGGGTGTTTGGGCTAAATTAAAAAAAGTTTATTATATTTGTATTATATAACATGTAGGTAGGCGTTAACAAATTTCGAAAAAAAATACAAATTTGGTTCCAGCTCCAAAAATATTGATATTTTTTTTAGAAATCTGTGGATTATCTTTCGAAACAGTCAAAAACCGGCATATTGCTTATTTCACTTTTCCAACTAGTTAGGAAAGATTTTTCCGGCTAGCATGTGCCACTTTCTAACCAGCAAATGTCATTTACTATAATATAAAATGGAGTATCTGGAGAAATCTGTCGGCTACGTTATTAACCTGCACGACTTTGACTTGAGAAACTAGCTATGCCTAGCTGGCTATCGCTGCAACAAGCAGTAGGTTTTTAATGAGTTAATAACCTGCAGGACTTTCATGAGTTGTGAAGATGGCTGTATTATTATGTTGGGTATGGGGTGTTAATGCATAGCGACCTAAAAGATCTATGATGCCATTTTCTGTCACCAATGCATCGAGAAAATAGTTTCAATGCCTATAACGACCCTTCCAATCCTATATTCTCAGGGAAGTTTAGGATTTGGAGTGGCTTTAAGCTAGGTAAATCGACCTCTTCTATTTGGTATACTTCTAAGTATAGTGTCTTTGGATTCTGGATTGCTACACTTTCAGTCAGAATGTGAAAGGAGGTTTTATCCTCCTCAGAGAAATTGTACTCACTATTTTCTACTACTCTCAATTTACTAAAGTGTCCTTTGAATTGGCAATGCCCGGTAAGGATCCATGTTACACTGCGCCGCCTTCTCTTGCTCAAATTAATACAAACTTTCTTCAATTAATTTAAGGTACGAATGGTATATTTGTGGTTATATTTATATTTACTTACGAGGCTATCTGCAATCTTGTTACCCTTTACCCCGTTGTGTCTCGGGGATCAAGTGAGAGTAACTGTATTTTCCTCGCTCGACTCATTCAGTTTTTCTAGGCATCTCCAGACCATTTTTGAGCTGATTACATAAGAACTCAGTGCTTTGATGGTTGCTTGGCTATCGGATAGTTGTCTGCGATAGTTTCTCTCGATTTTAAACTGGATACACTTCTCAATGACGTGAATTTCCACCTAGAAGATATTTGGGTATTTACGTAAACTTTCAGAGTGCCTGGTTCTAGGCCTCACACACAACTATTGATATATTAGCTCTCGCAGTAGCTAATCTAGTTCTGTTACTCCAAGCTGCAGCCTAATAAGAGATCATTGGTCTCACTATTGCTGTATACATCCATCGCAGTTTTTTTGGGTTACATTCTCATTTTTTACCCGCAATATTTCTACATGCTATTAGGGATTTTGTGGCCTTATTTACTATTTACTTTTTATGTACGTTCCACAGAAGTTTATTGTCTAGGGTCCAGCCTAGATATTTGACTTCTTTTTTTCTACTTTATATCTATCTCGTCTAATTTTACGGTTTTAAGATTGATATTTTTTCCTTGAAAAGGCTACTGGTGTTGTTTTGACACCATATTTTGGTATATTCTAGTCCTTTTTAGACTATATCACACAGGATATCTTCAAACTTGTATCTAGTAAATATGACTGTAGTAAGCGGCATAACATTGACAGGGTGTGTTGAGATCAGTCAACCTACATAAAAGTTCATCTGCGGTTAAGCTTCCATTAGTGGGGATAGAACTCCTCCTTGTGGACATCCTCGGGTTGTGCAGATGGGAATGGTGTCCTGTCCTATTTGTGTCAGAAGTTCTCGTAGATAGCAGCTGAGCCATCCATTCAGATGTGGTGCTATCTAGTTCTCTGTATGCGAGTAATCTTTCGACAGATTCGTGTGGCGTATGACGTTCCTTCTATGTCTAAAACAGCAGTTTGTCAGTACATTCTGGATTTTATCAGTAAGCTGTACATGAGCAGTTTGTGTAGATCTTCCTGCTCGGTATACGTACTGGATGTGCCAGAGTGGCACCATCTCCAGGATTTCTGTTCTGATTTAATTATCAATAGGTTTCTTTATTGTTTTTATCAGAAAGGATTTGAGGCTGATTGGTTGAAAATATTTAGAATGTGTGGTACCCTTTTTCCCTTCTTTTGGAATAAAGGTGACTCTTGCCCTTCTCCATGAATCTGGTATATATTCCAGATCCAGGCTGCTCTGGGATATTCGGATTATATGTGGTAATAATTTCTCCTATGTCCGCTAACGCAGGAGAGGAAATATTCAATTTACACCTGGAGACTTAAATGGTTTAAAACTGCAATTGTGTTTGGCCACTGCAACGGCCTTACTTGAGGTCCTGCACACCTTTTTGTAAGAGGGACACAACCTTATACAAAAAGATATGCACCCAGCAAAGTGAATTTCAAGTAAGAGGCGAGTTCTCTCCTCCTCACTCTCCGTGAAGCTTCCCTTTGTTTTTTTAGAGCCATAACTGTATTTACTTCCCCTTTTGCCAGAGTATTGTGCAGTCTTGCTGCCTTAGGTGCAGAATTAATCTGCTCGCAAAATTTACTGAAGCTGTTACGTTTATTTTTCCTGATTTCTATGTTGTAGGTGGTAAGTGTCTTGGTGTAACTCTGCCAATCGTCGCTGAGCTTGGCATTGTTATAGTGTCCCACCAAGAAACGTCCCTACTAGTTATATTTGGTTGAATGGGGCTGCTTCATTCATATGCATTAAGATCGCTATTCAGAGCTTGTTAGTAACCGGGCTCCTGTTTAGTTTGGATACGGGTTAAATTTTTTTATCCTAGTCTGTTTTTCTATGATTTCTCCTGAGGATCGTCTTAGGCTTGTCGCTTTCTAAAAGACAATAAAAAAAATTTAATTTAATATCGAGAAATCGCTAATCAAAATCCGAAAAATCATATCTGAAAAATAAGTGGTTGAAATAATTTGAAAATTCGGAAACAAATCTCAAAAATTCTCCTATGAATTATCATGACCATCCTCTAACTCCAAAGGTAAAAATAAATATTTGAAAATTCGAACCCAGACGTCTTTGTTCTGTACACAAATGCCCTACCTCTACACCAGACCTGCCTAACTCAGATTTTCAAAGGGCCAGTTTGTAAAACCGTAAGCGTACGAGGGCCGGTCTGTTCAGATTCTAAAAATAAGATCCCCACGTTGTAATTATGCCAAGCTTATCTAAATAAAATGTATAGTTTGACGTAGGCGGGCCAAACTGGTCAACTGCCAACGAGCCGCCAAAACGTCAATGGCAAGCCGTATGTTGTGCAGACTAAAATATAATGGAATTGTTACAGAATAGCCCCCCCCTATGAAGACTAGAGATATTGAGGCGAATCGGCATGCTCAAAATACGGTCCCAAAAATCACACGTCAATTGAGCTTTTATAATTAACCGCATGGGCTCTGGTACGGTTTACGTAGTTCAAAATACATGGCTTCTTATGGGAATTATACATAATTCTGTCAAAATAATAAAAATAAACTTTTTTTTAGCTAAACAAAGCACAGAATATACTGTTGTATTTATTTCTAAATAAGTCTTACATATTTTAATTAATACATTATTTACTATTTATTAAGTATTAAGTAAAATGTAAATTATTGATGATAAGTGTTGAAATTTGATGGGTAGGGCTAATTATTTTTTAATTAAAGCTAAATAGAACTGAGGGCATACTAAGACACGGTTTAAATGAAAATATTAAAAATCAAATTGTTTATTGCTAACTAAATAAAGCACAGTAAATAATGTTGGCATTAATTATAAATGAGTCTTTATGTTAAACATTATTTACTATTCATTATTTAATTTTATCTAAATAAAATTAAAAGTAGGTATGACCAAATTTGAAAAGGTTTGTTAAATGGTGAAATTTGGTTAGTACAGTTTTGTGGTAATTTTGTATTCGACAACTACAATTTCATCATCTTGGTGAATAGTTTCTTTAGCAATAGGTTCTAGTATTTTCTTCCTGTTTTTTATTCTAACAAATTCAGTTCGGTTCAATAGTAGTTTTCGTCTTTTCCTAATACTGGACAAGTACGAAGGGAGATTCGGGAATATTTTGTTAACAGTACCATTAGTTAAAATAGTCTCATCAAATTTTAAAATATCATCTTCTAAAAAGTGTAGCTCGCAAACAGAATCATAACTAGACAGTACTTTATCAACCCTAGGAATCACATGCTGCCATTGTTCTAAACGTTTAGGATCCTATAAAAAATATTTGCAATGAAAAATAACAGTAGTAACTCTTCATCTAAAATCAAAAAACATAAAAAAAGCAAATTTTCTTATCTA